TTTGATGATGACTAGATGTAACAATAAAGGCCACACCCACACATGTGAAGCATAAGATAATAATTAAAGACTAATTACGTAACATAACATCATGCCTTTTTATCCCCGAAGGGGTAGGCAGAGATGCACATTATGCCACTACAATGTAACACCCACTTTTCACTATTTATGTTATGAGTCCCATGTAATAGGGGGTGAGCCTTTTGCATTATACCGAGCACAATTCCAGACTCCGTTCTACTACTGAGAATTAAAAACCCGAGACCCTTTGTTCGGCAGCCGCACTTGCGACTACTCTGCCAACGACGCAGTCTAATTCTTTCCCTATTTTATTTATTTAACTTTATGCACTTGTCCTTCAGTACAAAGACCGACATGATGCTACAGACATTATCATTAGTCAACCTTTAGACGTTGCAGAGACAAATACCTTATACTTTACCTAGCCTTTGTTCCCCAGGTACAAGCTTCTGGACCGCTTCAAATCTATAGTAGCTGGGTTCGCGGATAGCTACGCGCTGGCCGCCGACAAGTGCAAGGCGACAGTGAAGTCTGTGTCACTGCGAGTGTTGGCGCGAGTCTTGTTGGACGCTGACTCGCTCGCCGTCGACAGCGCGCTGGAGAGAGCTACCGCGGCGTATAGGATTGTTGAGCATCTTGCACAGGGTGAGGGAACTATTTATGTTGTTTTGCTATTGGTTTAGAAGTTTTACAGGGTGTCATCGTAAATAAATGGTCCACCTTTAACCCATGGCATATATCCCCAAGCGGTCACCGGTGACCACTCTCCACTATCTACATGATATACCTTATTTCCATTGTATAAAGACTACTTTTGTATAAACAAATTTCGGGGATGATTTTCAACGGGTTAATTTAGTAAGTAAAGCCCGGGCCACACCAACGAGAAATGCCATTGCTTATCGCGATAATGCACGTTCACCGTAGGTGTAGCCACGAGTCAACGCGATAATTTGACAACGGCATTCACATTGCCGTGTGGCATGATGGGCATTCACGTTGAAATTTCAAGTGTAGCCTGTGGGTGGGTGTGAGTACTTTATCGCAATAATTATCGTAGTAAACATCGCGATAATTGGCATTGACGTTGACGTTAGTGTGGCCCCGGCATAACAAATACCAAGCAGTATTTACCGGGAGAAGTATGAGAAGTTTTTTGTGTTGTATGAATGATTTGATCGCTTTATATTATTGGAATCAATAGGCGTGTCGACAGGGTAAAAAAATCAAAAAAGTAATTAGTCTGTCATTAAGATCGCACGAAAATTTCAGACACGTATTTTTTGTTTTATCAAATTAACAGAAGAATACGTAGTTATTCCGCATTAAAGTTAGGGAGTGGGGGGTGTTGACGTCACACTTACGGAGAAATCGTACCTAATTGTGACGTCACGCGTCATTTTAACTCAAAATATCTACATGTTTTTTTGGATACGAGAAAAAAGAAAAAATACGTATCGAAGATTTTTAAAATATCTAAAAGACGGACAATAAATTAAAAAATAGTCGCCATGCCTATTGAACAAGTATGTCTCCAACTCATTCCGATGGCTGTATGGAGTATGATATCCATCAAACAAATTGAAAGATTGCATTTTGACTTAAAGAACAAATCGGTTTTGAAATAAATTTACTAATTTCTGTACTAAAAGACCGCATAATTATTTACTTTGTACAGAATCCAGTTACAATAATAAATGTTTAATAATTAATACTCTTACTTAAAAAAAATATTATCTTTGTGAGCAGGTGAACAGCAGGAAGTAGGTGCGGGCGGCGAGGGTGCGTCAGCCAGCAAGGACATGGTGGAGACAGCGCGCGCCTGGGCACGCCCCGTACACACCGAGCTTGATGCACTCGCCAGCCTTAAGAAGTTGCTCGAGAGGTAAGTTTACTATAACATTAGTACTTTTCAATTGGGGGGGCAAACGAGCAAGCAGGTTACTTGATGGTCAGTGATCGGAACCGCCCATGGACTCCTGAAGAGTTACAAGTGTGTTGCCTTTGGATGTGGTTTTGGATATAATAAATCCGAAACCTAAACTTGTCAACTGTATGCTTCCTACTAATCATGGTCAATGAGAGTGATAGAATAAAATTTCTTGTTTTTACATACTATAATGTCTCCTGACATACAGAGTAGTCATATTCTCTATTGAGATTTGCTAATGTATTAGGTTCAACATCCACATTTTAATTAAAACCATAAACCTTGTGAGCTAAATAATAATCATAATATTTATTTACTCTATCAGACAGAACACGTTCCGGCCGGTATTCGCTCCCCTCCTCCGGTCGGCTCGGCCGGAGCGCAAGCGAGTGACACAGCTGCGTCGTATACTGGCCGACGCTGGCCTGCTCTACGACCAACTCAAGGAGGCCTGGCAGGAACATAAGCTTGATGGTAAGAACTTTTTCCATAATAATAATATTATTTTTTTACTGTAGTTGCGGTGAGTTGCGGGCTTGAGTAATCATTTATCATCACGATAAGAGTGTTCGTTTTTTATCTTTGTCTCAGTTATACAGAGTTTGGTACAGTAGGTTTTTTGCCGCACTTACTAGTTGCTATCAGAAATCGCTATCTTTCATGCAATTTATGCATCTATTCTTTGGTTGTTATCTCTTCTACACATCCATAGTATTTTTTCAACGTGATTTTTATTACTTCTCTATCATGTTTAATCGAGAGACAAATAGTTGCCAACATAACTTGAAATACTTCACACATTTTTTTACATAAACAGTCAACTCTCAAATACTTTCAACAGTGGTATTATATGGATATTATCATAATATTATTTGTAACCACTACAGGCTTGGAGAAACAAATGTCGTCCCTAACTCTATCTGCAAAGGAGGAAGATATAAAAGAACTGATTGAGATATTTGACTGCCACTTCGACCCCGCTAAGGAGCCGAAGGGACCTAAACCAAGGATTCCAAGGAATAAGAATAGGGTAAGCTTTTCTTTCCTATAATATTTAAAGTTAGTGAAAATGAAATGTTTTTGTAGAGGAAATAAGGTTTATAATCGGCAAGTCAGTTTAATATGTGTAATGTGTATATTTCAGGCCACATCGTCAGCCGGCGAGACTGGTGAGGCAGAGGGCAGCACCAGTGAGTCCCAGAACAGCTCGCCACACAATTCACCTAACAAGACTAATAATGGTATATATTATTTTTCATACTACCTACATACAGTTTCGATAATAATTTCTTTGCAACTAGATATAGTCAGACTGCCCATTTTCACCATTGTAACCTGTTGGTATCCACTACCAATAAATATTTTTTATGTAATAGCTCACCATCGGACTTGATCCTTTTTTATATTTGATGGGCCGACATTTAGCCACTATCTGTTCAATTTCCCATCCGATTCACTTGACTGAAAAGAATTTATAACTTCCAAAAATCTCTGATATATTTATTGTTTGTCTGATGTACCTACTAATGTTCATGTATCTTGTTTCCAGATGTGGCGGCAGGTGATTCTAGTCAAAAAGTGCCGGTGCCGGAACCGGTGGCGGCCAATTAAGGCGTACATCTTCACAATTAAAGCTTAGACTTTTCTACCATAGCTGTCGTTAAGTGTCGTAAGCCGCTCTCGGATTAGCGACGACAAAGAACTAAACGTTCTTTCTACATTTTGTACCAGGCCTTGTTCCAAAGCTGCATATACCGTAGATATAGAACCATATTGTAACTTACTGCTTGTAGATTGTCATAATCGGTGTACTTATGATATCTTAAATGTTGTATTGAAGAATGCAATCTATGTCCTTAATATCAAGTGTCGTCATGTAGTCAATAGTCCGATGTCAGCTTTGTTACGTGGCCTCGAATCACGGAACATATAATGAAATGTATAACAACGTCTATAAGACTATTTTTAGTAGCATTTTAATGCTCATACAATTTATTCCGTGATTTTATTCATGTTTGCAACATAAATGAAATTTTAATGATGCTGCAAGCTTTGCTGCTGCATAAGGCTCGCTTTCCACTGTCACACATAACATATGAAATATGATGCATTAATTCTTATGAATTTTAATAAGTTTACCTATAAAATGGTAGTGGAAAGCAGCCAATGGAATGTGCAATTTAGTAACTACTGTGCAATTTTTTGTCAAATTATTTACACATTAGAGGAATTGCATGATATTTGATGATGATACGTGGCGTATTGTCGTATTAGTGTTCTTATAGAGTCGCCGCAGTGTAGTAGATCTACTATTGTATCCAACCTGGTCGTGGCACTGCGTCGGCTGCGTCGGAACACTCGTCGCTAACCCGGGAGCTCTACATCGGAGCCATAGAGATGTGACAAAACATTTATTCGTATTATACAACTAGGTTTAAGTCTCCTTTGGAATTGAGAGATATATTGTTTTGCATGTAACGCGATGGACGAGATTTTTTTTCAACGCCCACTTTTTTTTCTCTTTTGCTTACGCATAAAGATTTTTTCTATATATAGTTGATAATGTAGATGAGTGCCTTAGCAACTCAGTGTAATAAGATAAAATATATCCCATTATATTTTGGCCTTACATTTACATTGTTGTTCGCAATGTCATATACGCATATTTTATACGGTCGAGTTATTTTAAAATATTGCAATTATGTTACGCGGTAAAGACGAAAAAAAAAACTTTTATACATTTTTAAATAATAATAATATTAGCAGTTTTAACAAAGGCTTCAGACGAAGCAGTATTTATTTTGATTAGGTCCTTGCGAGTGCAATATTGTGTAATTTTGTACAATGAGGACTACTTGAGTACAATATAGTACTTTTTATTTATTTATTCAAAGATACATTTTATTTATTTCGTGTGTGAAATCACAGGAACGGATGGACTGATATTTACATCCGATATTTAAAAAAGATTATTTTTTTTTGTTTTTCTTTCTTTTCGTTAGTTATGCTGGATATTGCTGTAACAATTCTTTTGCTGAGTTTACGTCACTTTTTCGTTTGCCATAGAACGTTTCGATAAATAAGATTTTTTTGTTCACCATACAATAAGCAAAGTAATGGAAAAAGTGTGTACCTATTAACTTACCTCTAATTTAGTTAGTTTTAACATAGACTGTACATATAATTTAATTTCTTATTTTGTTCAGATCTCTAATAAATATGTAAGTCTAATTTGCTTGTTTTCTTTATAAAACTTTTAGCGCATTTCATAGTGTTCCTACCTACCCTTTTTTGACAAAGATGGGAGTTGTGTGTATCACAATACAATACAATTAAAAAACTTGAATTTATAAATAAATAACATTTATTTTATATCGCAACTGCATCATCTGACATGGTCCAACTTTCGCCTAAATGCTCTCTCACTGCCTTGTCCAAAATTACCTGAAAATAATTCATTACAATTAAACGGAGAATGTGAAGAAAGATTGCTTTTTAGTTTATCAAGGCAAAGGTGTTAAATAATTACCTCAATATCTCTACATCCCTGCATGGCCCGCTTCATGACGACACTCAAATAATCCGCGTGGAGTCTCTGAGACATGTCTACCCATGCTACACTATCTGTAACAAAAAGGTTATAATGAACACATAACCGATCCAATAACAGTGAAATCTGGAACTAAATGACTATCCTTTTGGTTATATTTTTCCTAAACTACATACCGGCATAATTTGGAGAATGACAAATCAAATTATCAAGGTACCTACTGCTTGAAAACTATCAGTGGTTAAAAAATTATATTAAAATTGAAACAAAAGTACCATTTTGGTTGAAATTGTGTTACATTACATTTAAAACTAGACGAAAAAGATACGAACTTCTGATAAATCACATAGAAAGATTAAGTGCCTAGATTTTAGTTAAAAATAAATGGTGAAAACTCCACTTACTTATACTGGGCAAACTGGACACTGTCAGTACAGAACCTCCAGCGGACTCCTCAACATGACTGACATCAACCAAAGGCTCTGGCTTGCCGTCCTTCCACGCTATGGAAGCTGTGCAACTACAGAGGTAAGCCTTCATTGGTATACCAGCGTCGATCAACGCGAGCGTCGCTGCGTTCACACTCGCTGAGTATGCACCTCCATCTGCCTGAAATAAGTGAAGTAAAGAAATTATATAGTCGTGTATTGACAGCAGAGTATAACATATTTATCACCACCCAACTCTTCCCGCTTCCCGCGGGTGCCACACTGACTAAAGGTCATTGCACGCCTGACAAGCATGGCTCCAAACCGCAATGTTATTGTCATTTAAAAATAAACTGTACATCGTTTGTCATAAGACATAACATATATTGACATATATGCCGCCCGCAAACAAACGGCTCGCTTACAATCTTTTGGTATTGTTTCCAAAGCAAAAAATCTTTGCTGGAGCCGTGCTTGTTAAATATAGTCACAGAAAGCAGAGTGCCGTTCTCTGACAAACCTGAAGCTCCAACCCGTCTGCTAAGTATGGGCAATATAGCAAACCCTCTTATATCTATAGATTAGGCATAAGTTCAGCAGTGTAAAGTATTGAGCTGTTCATGATGGCACTATACGTAATAGTTGACTTGAGAATGCCATAAGAGCTCTCGTGTGTAAGATTTCTAAGGCGTTTAATTTGCTATCCTATTCACTGTTAATTATTACTTGTCGGAATACTCAAACGCTACTCAATTTAAGTCACGCTTAAGTATAGTTCTGTCTCTACAATTTCTTTGTGAAATGACAGAGATGGTACGATATTTAAGTACGACTTAAAATTGAGTAACGTTTCAGTATCCCGGCAATAATAGTCTGTTAATTACGACTGCCTCGTTGGCCAAATGGTCGCAAGTGCGACTGCCGGGCAAGGTGTCTCAGGTTCAATTCCCGGGTAGGGTAAAGTATAAATGGGTTTTAAAAAAAATCTCAATAGTAGCATGGAGTCTGGAACTGTGCCCGGTATATGGCAATTACATACTCATAACATTAGTAGTGAAAAGTGGGTGTTACATCGTACAGTGGCATAATGTGCAACTCTGCCTACCCCTTCGAGAATAAAAGGCGTGATGTTATGTTAATTATTATTGGGTGAAGAAGTTTCAAATAGAATAATGGGTATGTATTAATTTAAATGTCTCACCTGCAATACTTCAAGGTATACGTCGATCTGCGAGCGAGGGTACAGCTCTTTCTTGATAGCAGTTGTGATCGCCTGAGTTAGCTGCATAGATATCGCCTCCGACTTGCGACCTCCACGCGGTCGCTTCTTTCTTTCGCCTAAAATATATTGCAACTGTTATTCGTAAATGGGGTCCAGGTTTGCTGATCCGGTGGTGCTAAGTGCGACTGCTGTGCAAGAGATTACGGGTTCGATTTTCGAGGGTGGTTTGGTTAGGTGCCACCAAATACCTTATATTACCTAAGCTGTGTTCAATTTTATGACAGATTATAACCATGACCATTAACCTAAGTTATAGGTATTTTGTTATGGGCTTATGGCACCGACTTCTAACCTATCAGTGGGTAGGTAACCTATAAGTACGTATGATTAATAATAGTTATTTTTAACCGACTTCTCATCAATACAAATTAATCAAACCCAAACAAAAGATTGCTACTGTTAACCGTTGAGGAGTTTCCTCAACTATCGTACTACTTTATCATCAGACCCTTATTGGCCTTAATCATATACCACCTTTCTAACAAAAAAAGAATTTTTGAAATCGGTTCAGGCGTCTTCGAGTAATCGAGTAACAAACATAAAAAAAAATACAGTCGAATTGAGAACCTCCTCCTTTTGTTTTCAAGTCGGTTATAAAGGTGTTAATTTGATTGCGTTGCAGTCGTAGAATATTACGTGCATTAACAGATACGATAACCACAACTGCGACACGACAGACACGACCTACACGAGCGACAGGACGAGTCCGACAGATACGACCGACACGACAAATACGACAAACACGACCGACACGACAGATACGACCATAACGACAAATACGACCGACACGACAGATACGACTGACACGACAAACACGACAGATAGGACCGACATGACAGATATGACCGACACGACAAATACAACCGACACGACAGATACGACCAATTTGACAAACACGACAGATACGACTAACACGAAAAATAAGACAAACACGACAGATACGACAAATACGACAGATACGACCGACACGACAAACACGACAGATAGGACCGACATGACAGATATGACCGACACGACAAATACAACCGACACGACAGATACGACCAATTTGACAAACACGACAGATACGACTAACACGAAAAATAAGACAAACACGACAGATACGACAAATACGACAGATACGACCGACACGACAAACACGACAGATAGGACCGACATGACAGATATGACCGACACGACAAATACAACCGACACGACAGATACGACCAATTTGACAAACACGACAGATACGACTAACACGAAAAATAAGACAAACACGACAGATACGACAAATACGACAGATACGACCGACACGACAAACACGACAGATAGGACCGACATGACAGATATGACCGACACGACAAATACAACCGACACGACAGATACGACCAATTTGACAAACACGACAGATACGACTAACACGAAAAATAAGACAAACACGACAGATACGACAAATACGACAGATACGACCGACACGACAAACACGACAGATAGGACCGACATGACAGATATGACCGACACGACAAATACAACCGACACGACAGATACGACCAATTTGACAAACACGACAGATACGACTGACACGAAAAATAAGACAAACACGACAGATACGACCGACACGACAAATATGACAAACACGACAGATACGACCGACACGACAAATATGACAAACACAACAGATACGACCGACACGACAGATACGACCAATTTGACTAACACGAAATACACGACAGATACGATCGACATGACCGCCGCGACAAATACGACAAACACGACAGATACGACAAATACGACCGACACGACAGATACGACCGACACGACAAATACGACAGATACGACCGATACGAAAGACACAACAGATACGACCGACACGACAAATACAACAGATACGACCGACACGACAAATACAACAGATACGACCGATACGACAAATACGACTGACACGACAGATACGACCGACACGACATATACGACCGACACGACAGATACGACCGACACGACAAACACGACTGACACGACAGATACGACCGACACGACAGATACGACCGACATGACTGCCACGACAAACACGACAGATACGACAAACAGGACTGACATGACAGATACGACCGACACGACAAATACGACAGATACGACCGATACGACAAATACGAAAGACACAACAGATACGACCGACACGACAAATACAACAGATACGACCGATACGACAAATACGACTGACACGACAGATACGACCGACACGACAGATACGACCGACACGACAAATACGACAGATACTACCGACAACTAACACAACAGATACGACCGATACGACAAATACGACTGACACGACAGATAAGACCGACACGACATATACGACCGACACGACAGATACGACTGACACGACAAACACGACAGATACGACCGACACTACAAATACGACAAACACGACGGATACGACCGACACGACAGATATAACCAATTTGACTAACACGACAAACACGACAGATACGACCGACACGACAAATACGACCGACACTACAAACACGACAGATAGGACCGACACGACAAATACGACAGATATGACAAACACGACCGACACAACCGACACGACAGATACGACCGACACGACAAATACGACAGATACTACCGACAATTAACACAACAGATACGACCGATACGACAAATACAACAAATACGACAGAAACAACAAATACGACCAACACGACAGATATGACTGACACAACAAATACGACCGATAGGACAAACAGGACTGACATGACAGATACGACCGACACGACAAATGCGACAGATATGACCAGCACGACAAATACGACAAACAGGACAGATGCGATTGACACGATCAACTCCATAAACGCGACAAACACGACCTATACGACCCACTGAGGTTAGAAGTCGGCGCCATAAGTTCAATACAAAATTATTCATTAAAACCTCATTAACCCGTTGAAATCCACCCCCTAAATTTGGTCATACAAAAGTAGTCTCTAAACATTACAAATAAGGTCTATAATGTAATGTAATATTAGTGGAAAGCTGTCACGGGTGACCGCTTGGTGATTTATGGGTTAAATACCTAATTTACAATTTTGTGGCCATTAGTTAAGTTATATCATTATGATATGAGCTTATGGCACCGACTTCTAACCTATCAGTGGGTGGGTAACCAAAACCTAATAATAGTTATTTTTTGCTTCTTAGTTTAGACCTTTTGTTTGTTATATTAGTTTTTGTTTCGGTTTTATATTCTTAGTAATAGGATGGAGTTTTTAATTATGTTTGGTGTAAGGCCATAGGCTTACTCCCTATTACATAGGGCTCAAACCAATCTAGTGAAAAGTGGGTGTTACATTGAAAAATGTGCAGCTCATCAAGGATGTAGTTTATCTTTTTATATTTTATGTCATCAAAAATTTCCATAAAATCTAGAATAATGAGTAACCTCTTATCAAAATGATGTAATCATAGAATTTCAATGAGATTCGACTTTCATTGATATTTAGAAATATCGGAGACAATAGATAATGAGTCAAAGGCTGTGTCATAGTGTATATTCTTATTTTTAATTAATCTGATCATTGTTTTGTGAAAGTAAGTCAACCTCTGTTGTGTTTCGTGCGAGTTGAGAGTTCAGTGGTCAAATATCTTGTTTTTTTTTTTATTGTGATGATACCATGGAGGTCAGTTAAGTATTTTGTTGTCATTTTTATTACTTGGTAAACTATGTCGAGGAAATAAATTCCCAAACTGTGATGTAACTAAGATCCTATTTATCCTAATGAAATTGATTTACTATAATAATTTACTTGCTACTCTCGCGCGATTCCACTCACTCTGCTCAGCTCCCTTCAGCACCAATCAAGGCATGAAATTATTATTCGTAATAATTATAATTGATGAGTTCCGGATTACATCAATTTTATAAATTATCAGTTCAGTCAACATTTTAGAAGTTTTCTCATAATAAGTTAAGTTGAACTTGTTAAGTTACTTGGGCCCTTGTGCAACGGTTTAAAATGCTTAATAATAAAAAAGTGACAAAAACATATCATATCATTGAGAGCAAAGATACACCTTCAGATCTACAGCTGTACACCGTGATGGTTTACAGGTACCCATCTTCACTATGCACATGCTCATTCGCCACTTGTTTGTACCGTCACACTAATAATTGATGTTCTGGCATGTCGCCTGAGTATGATATATTTGCGTCAAGCTGGGAGACTCAGAGCAAAAAATGCATTAAGTTGTGTAAGTGTATAAATGCATTACTTTATTTAATTTTATATTGTGTTGTAAATGTCTTTTTCTTTGTACATTTTGGTTATTGCTGTTAAAATGTGTCATAGTTTGGAAGGTTTGTTTTAGTCTTTTTTGTTTTATATTTTTCTATCACCTAAACAATTTGTCATTTAAGGTATTTTCTCCATTTGTGATGTTGTTGTGTTTAAATATTTAAAGAATAATGCCTTGGTTTAAAGACTAATGTACTATTTTTATTTAAACTGTCAAACACCAAGCGGTCACCGGTGACCGCAACTATTTGTTCTATAATTGTGTCTATAATGACAGTACTCGACGAGTTAAATAAATATATCTTGTTTTGGTAGGCAGTAGTGTACTATAAGACACCCACTTTTACTATAAGTAGTTACAGTATTATAAATTCCTTGTAATATTATAAATGCATAAGTGTGATTGTTCATGCCACTTGGAACAGTTTTTTGGTGTGATAGTTGTATCTAGAGAGATTGAGTTATAGAAAAATACCTGTAGAGAATGTTGCCATGCTGTAATGACAGTTTATGACGACAGAGTCTTGTAAAGATTTTGATTTTGCAGCCTGTAACAATAATAGTTTAACATTAGCAGATCTGTTGACATTTTAGTAGCTGTCTTAGATAGTTGACTGCCTTGTTGGCCGAGTGGCCGCAATTGCGATTGCTGGGCAAAAGGTCTCGGATTCGATTCCCGGGTCGGGCAAAGTATTACTGGGTTTTAAAAAATCTCAGTAGTAGCACAGAATCTGGAATTGTGCCCGGTATATGGCAATAGGCTCACCCCCTATTACATGGGACTCATAACATAAATAGTGAAAAGTGGGTGTTACATTGTACAGTGGCATAATCTGCACCTCTGCCTACCCCTTCGGGGGTAAAAGGCGTGATGTTATGTTATGTCTTAGATAGTCTGAGCTTTATTACTATGAGCACCTTTATTATAAATAGTGTTTAATGGATAAAATTATGGTAGGTAAGGGCTTGCACAATATTTGAAATTACTGAGTGGCAAATCAGTTTTTGTCACGTTTATTAGTTCATACGGTTTTATAATGTATAGTACCTGATGAGGTCCATAAACTGCAGCTAAAACTTTTGTATTTCCTTGCTCAATATACGCACTACCATCAGGCTGTGTAAAAACACCAAGTTTGCATTGAATACGACGAAGTTCATTAGGTCTACGGCCGTCGAGACGTAGTCCTTGACTTGATAATAGTTCTAGGCCTGGCCTTTTAACATTGAAATCTGAACTCATTTTGAATAATTTCGATTCACGTGGATTTAGCCTCAAACTTTGTGTTGTAAACACAGCGCTAACATGCACGAATTACGTACAAGTTCGATGACAGTGACATAATGACACTGTCATTGTCATTATGTCATAGACTAGACATCCTTGACCAGATCCCCAGCAGCAGCGGCAGCACTGGACACTGGACAGGAATGTTGAAAACTTAAAATCACGTTGTTAATTCTAGTTTCTAAATATTTCATCATTTTTGTGTTAATCTTTGTGAAATCAATACTTTAGTCATTACCTTCTCAATAAAAAATATTCATATCAACTGATCACCTATTCTGAGTCATATCAGTCATACCGACACTTCAACATTACTGATGCGCCAAAGACAATACTAAGTACGAAAGTTAGCTAATCTATGATAACAATTATTTTTCTGTATAATCTGTCATCAATGGCCGCGAGACAAATGCTGTTGTGACTGCTAGAGTGCAAATTAAAATTCGTTTATCTCGCGCAAAAACATTCGTATAACATTTTGTTTACCAAGAAGATATGTGACTAGGTTTTGGTGATAGAAATTAGGTATATTTTATTTAAATTATTTGTGGAATTTGGTACTCGCGCCCATTGACCGTTGTCTTGTCAACTGTGATCCCGGTGATGCGTGCGTGTGCATTACATTTGGTGGACAAAAAATCGATCTAAATGATTACCAATTTGTTTGTAATATCGACATAATCTGTTCTTAAACGTGGTGTTTTTCATAATCTCTATTTAGAATGAAGATTGAGTGCAGTGATAATTAAAATTTGTATTGTTTATATTGATTGATGTCCTAAATTATTTGTGTTTAATTGTAATACGTAATTGTTACAGAAGTGAGTAACCATAATGGACGTAGATGATTCGGCGGTTGACCTGAGCGTCAGGTGAGTTATTATTTCATTTTATATTTTTGTTTACATTTAATGATAATGTGGAATTATGTAATTTATTTATGAATACAGGGCATTGCCACCTGAGTTGAGCGAATTGAGGGCTCTGACGGCCAGTGGGCTGACTATTACGCCTGCACAACCACCACCACATGTAAGTAAAAATATAAACCTATATATAAATTCCACATAAAACCTCTTTTCAACATTATTTGGCTATAAAATGTACCTTTATGTGAGTGGTCAATATGCTATACTTCCTTTAACCAAGTCATTGTAGTCTAACTTTGTTTATAAATACCACATGCATAAATCATTGCTGGAGGTCGTAACACAGATAATATTAGTTCTATCTACATAAGGAAGAGGTTGCAATTAAATTATTCATTTGTACTTACTAACAATCATGAGATACTGCAGTATAGGGAAATATCAATCATTAATTAAATATTGGTCTTATTAAATTGACAAAGGAAGAAAATACCTTATTTCTTAACAATGAAAGTTTATTTTCACACCTGAGATGTTAATTAATTGTCTTAGATTGATTTCGTACACTATTACTGTAAATTATTAATATCTATTTTTCTTTTGCTATCACAAAAAGATTGACAGGGTAAGTACTCGAACAATGCTTTTGCCATGAAGTTTGTGTCATCAGTAAAAATTCCACTATTTCATCTGTAAATACAACAAAACATTTAAATTGATGTTAATGATATAAATTTTAATTACTTAAAATAAGTTATATATATTGTGACAAAATTAAAATACATTATAAACTCATTTACATATTGGCATTATAGAGGGCCTTTGCTTTGCCAAACAATGGATTAGTGGAGGCTTATAAAAAAATAAAGAACTTTATGGTTTGTTTTGTTTTTAATTATGACAAAATACTATGCAGTCCGGTTTTGTTGCTTAAATATGAGAAATAAATTGGATTATCTAAATATTTGTTTATCTCATCTATGGTCATACATCAATTAAGGCACAATAAATACAAGTGGACAAATTTAATTTTATATGCACATCACAGATGACAGAGATCCACTAATTAAAAAGTTAATACTATTAAATGTTAATTGAGTTATGAGTCCCATGTAGAAAGTGTGAATTTATTGACTGCTTGCCATTATTCTCAAGTTCCCTAAATCCTAATAAACCACTAATTTGCACAACTATAAAATGAGTCTTTGACAACTTATTTTAAAGTCTACCAATGATGCAGTCTTACAATTACAAGTTTAGTGGATTTAAAATGAAATGTTTTACATGGAACAGGTAAAAGTTAAATTATGACAGCATTGGAGATAATATTATTACAAAAATGCTCCCATAATGTAAAATAACAGTTATATTGAATTTATACCAAGAATTAATATATCATTACCACAATATAATTATGTGGTTGGATATAGAATTTAACCTTCAAGCGGGCGCGCGGTCTTTTGTAACGGGAGCGGGCGCGCGTAACCGAATAGACCTATGGGATGAATAAGACCAAGAAAGCAATAATTATGGGATAATCATTTATTAATTTGTACTAAGATACAATATCATTGTCTTTAAAGAGAAATTTGTCACAACAAGTAATTAAAATTATGAAAAAGAAGCAATTATTAAGTCACCTAAAGTAACTCAAATATTCTTTGGATCAAAATAAAAATTAAGACCCGTTTACATATGTTAGGTTGGTTTATATACGTAGACCAAAAAATAAATAAAAAGTAAGGATAAAACTGTAAAAACTCATTAATTTTGATTTTATTTTCGTCTGAGTCAGTATTCTAGTAATTTTTCAGATTTTGCTACTTCGTTACTTTATCGCGTCCTGTAAAACAGCTATTTATTTCCGAAAGCTACAAATTATTCTCATCTAAATCCGACAAGGATGATATCACATCAGATAGATGTTCTTCTAAAACTATGTGATGAGAAGTTTCAGAGCCTTGGTTGCTAAGCTCTGATTCACTCTCTTCTTCGTCTTCTCTTTGTAATTCCTCGATTACTGTACTTTGCGATAACCATAAACGACTTATTTAAACAAAAAATGCTTTAAAACACCAAAACTCCAAGCTGAATTAGATAATATTGACATGTGTATGTCGCGTTGGGCGTCGCGCGTAACCTATTCGACGACAGGCGCGTGTAGTCTTTTCAACGACTGCGCCAGAGCCTAAATAATTGTAATTTGTGGAGTGTAGAGATCGCTTCAAGCAACGAAATAGTTTTTATTTTACTCCTAAAAAGATAGTGACAGGCTACTAGAAATTAGAAATGCATATGACAACTAAAAATAAAAATACGAACGAAAATGTATTAACCGCGGTCGATTCGACTACGCGCGCCCGCTTGAAGGTTAAACAATGATTACTTAACTCGTTGAGTGAAACAAGTGACCATCATTATAGACACAATTAAAGAACAATAGGTTGCGGTCACCGGTGTCCTCGTGGTGTTTGACAGTTTAATGTTTAAACTGTTAATTATGTCTATAATGACGGTACTCAGCGATTTAATAAATAATATTATTAACTTTATTCTAATTGTTCATGTGGGTTAATTCCTGCTCAAAATATTATAATTTGTAAGGCTGTGTTTATGTTTGTTACTGAATTATATCAAAACAACTGAGGATATAATTTAAAACAGGGGTAGATTACATATGATTTGAAATAACACATGGCTTTTTAGCTCATAGCAATCTCGGTGAAGCAGTTGACAGAAACTAGTATTGTATGTAACTGTAAGGGTATGGGATTGCCTTTGTTGATGATGATGATAACGATGATAGTATCTAAAGTAAATACATTAATGATTTTTTTTATAACAAAACCTGTCTGTAATAGAATAATAGATGTCAACTAACACATGCATTGTATGAGAATTTTGGTTAATTTTTGGGCTTGGCATCATTCTTTATTAAGTATATGTAGGTTCATATTTGTACCGTGGAATTTTGTAATGCCACCTGAAGGGTCTCTACTCTTGATACTTATGATAGAAAATTTTACTCAAAGAAAACATTCCTTTATTTTTGAAAAGAAAGAAAACTGCATTCATAGATTTTTATTGCATCGATTGTTAGGGCCAAATAGGGATGAAATCTCTCTTACAAACTTCATAAATTTAATGAAAGGAAAAGAATGAATGGTTGATGCAATAAAAGTACATGGTGCAAACTTTGACAGATTTTAGTCAGCTCGATTACCATGTGAGGCAAGGTAATTTTTAAAAATCTTTGAATACAGTCTTGTTTCTTTTTAGAAATAAAGGAAAGATTTCTTTGTATCTTGCTTAAAAACAATGAAAACTGTCCACGAAGCGGCCACGTTGCGTCACTTCTTATACAAATCAGCCAAACGGCATTTGTAGGTTGCATGCATTCGTCAAAACCGTCGTGGCAGTAGGCTAAGTAACATTTAAAAACATTAAAAAAATCTAATATGGCCCTAATGGCTAATATGCATGTGCTAAGCGACCTCTATTATTTCTCAGCGTTAATATGATATTTAAAGAGTAAACTCAAATTATAATGATGTTACTCAGGTACAACAACTAAGGATTGTGAGTAGATTGCTTCATATGTTATTAGTTATGCCTAGTTTTAATTATATTTTCACTATATCATTTTACTTTTAATATACACCGTGAAACCTATTTCGTTTTCGTCCCCAAGTAAAATGGTTCTGTCTTGGTATTATTATTATAATCGTATATTAATATTAATATATTTCTATAATCGTGTGTGTTAATTGTCAAATAAATGTTTTTTCTTTCTTTCTATTATAGTAGTTTTACAAAGAAATAAGATGTTTTAAACAAAACATAACTGGTGAACCATTGCAAAAATGAAACTTCGAAAGCGCATACAAACTCTTAGTAGCATCAAAACATTATGCCATTTAATTCTGGAAGAGGTATTTCTCGTCGGGTGGCACGTGCCATGCGAATTTTTTTTTTTTTTTGGTAAAAAATGACAATTTTTTTTACTCTATACATCGAAAGAACTCGTTATGGTTATTAAGTGGCTTGGTCGCGAGATGTAAAAGTAATAAATTTCACGGTGTATTATTCAGTGCTAATTCCTTTGTTCACTAAACTGAAATTATATAATTGCTATTAGTTATAATGTGTAAATAAAGTTGGGTAATATATAGTCTAACTATTAATTCGGCCTGTCTTTTATCTTAGTTCAAGTTTGGTTGATGAACAAAATTGGCACTCTTTTGTAATTACACTCAGTTTAAGCTTATTATATTATTACATTCTATTTAAACTAATTCTTGATTTGATATTACATATATTATAAAGAAAGAGTCCTTTTCTATTAGTTTTGATAGTTCCTCAAAATGTTTGACATTATGCATTTTGGTATTCTTTTTGCAAGTGAGATATTTGAGTTTATTTATATTTATTTCATTTCAAAACTCAAGCCTTTATTGCTGAATTTTTTTATAACAACAATTTTATTCATTTGTTCCGTAGTTTTTTTTTTAATAGTAATTTTCTTGCACTTATACTTTATCAAAACACATTTTATTCTTTATTTTCTTTTACTATGTTCATTGTAAAGTAACATGTGTTATGTTTAGGGCTCCAGCGGGAAGCGGGTGCTTCGCCCTCGTTCGGAACAGCGTAGTTATGCAGAGAGCCCTGATATTGTGTTGCTCCCGGCTGCGCCACCCCACCGCAAACCTTCTATGCCGAGTCCTGCACCGTTTACTGGTAAGTCTTATTTATTTTTTATTTAGTCACTATAATTTACTTACGAAATTATTAATTTAACCTACATATAAGTCGCGGAGAACCTAACGGGTAACCGGGGCTCCGGTTCGACGTGCAGGAGAAGGAACGGCGTGGTTTTTAGTCAGTAAGAGTCTGACACTCCCTCCTGCCTCACCCAGGCGGGAGCAGTCAATCGATGATTTTCCCCCTTAAAAAGAACCTACATTAAAAAAACTAAGCTGCTATAACTGCGCTCTGTATATTTCAAGTATTCGTTATAGACTTATCTGTCTCTGCTCGAAATTTTATCAAGATCAGCTCAGTACTATTACGTTAAAATGAAACAAACATAATTATGTATTCATGTGTTGATTTCATCTTTGCTCATTTGTCCTAAAAGTTCCTGTCTCTTTCTTACTTTACTATTATTAGTTAGAAAGTAAGAATTACATCATACATTACTGCTAATACACATAACTGCTAAAATAATAACAATCAAGTTAAATTAGATGCACCATAGCTAACACCTACGAAAAATAAAAAATGGCCATGTAAATGAACTAAGAAATCTCATAAACACACCATTACAAAGGGACATTGACCTAGTTTCTATGAATTTGAGTTCATACTTGATACTGACGTTATTATATTACACAAATATAGTGTGTAACCTAATCAAACATTATCATTCGTTGTTATCTTAAGACAAAGTCTCCGCCGTACGCTTAATTAACGTGATTCTTTAAGATGTAAGGTAAACATTGATAATTAACTCGTCGAGCACCGTCAATATAGACACAATTAAAGAACAATAGGTTGCGGTCACCGGTGTCCTGGCGGTGTTTGACAGTTTAATAGATTTTGATAAAGCATTGTTTATGATATTTTCCGAGGGTTAACTAGGGGACAGGAGTTATAAGGCCCTTAGTGTTGTGGTGGCTCAAAGGTTAAAACGCCCGCTTCTCATGCATGGGTGCGGGTGTGAAACCTACCAACAGCAAGTACCAATGTGACTTTTTCCGAGTTATATGTACTTTTTAAGATAATTTAGATACCACTGACAAAAGGTGAAGGAAAGCATCGTGAGTTACCTGGGCTTATAATTTCTAATTATAAGTTTGTAAACCCGCAATGAGCAAGCGTGGTGATTAATGCTCAAACCTTCTCCGTGTGATAACAGGCTTTGCTCAGCAGTGGGCATTTATAAGGCTTTATAAGATATGTAACATCGTTTGGTCCCGGTTAGGCAAAGGTGTGCACAATGTTACCCATATGACAAGGGCTGGTCCTATTGCTAGCGATACCCTATTTGAGTTGTTCGTGCTACTATGAGACTGAGAAAACCCTATTACTTTAAGCGAACCCGAGCTAAAGAGCTAGTTAACATATCTATGTAAATAAAAATGAATTTCTGTTCGTTAGTCTCGCTAAAACTCGATAACGGCTGAACCGATTTGGCTAATTTTGGTCTTGATAGGTTCGTGGAATTCTAGGGAAGGTTTAAAAGGTGAGAAAAATCTTTTAGGCGGTACGAAGTTTGCCGGGTCAGCTAGTAAATAAATACATTTCAACATTAACAGATGTAAGCAGTAAGCTGAACTCGGGCAATGTGAACGTGTCTATAACGCCGAGTACTCTGCCGGCCCCCGCACCGGAGTCTCCGCGCGACCCGCGCGACGATGAAGACTCGGAGGAAGACGAGAACGAACCGCCATTGCCGGTCGCTGGACATCGAGTGAGTAACTGTTGTGATAATTTCTTGGTTTTAACGTTTAGTATGTGGTGTGTATTCTTATTTAAATTCACTTGACACTTGATTTTAGCCAAATGCCTCTTTAGCGCTTGTCTACAGAGCGAGTAGAAAACTAAATGTAATCATTTTGACACTGACAAGTGTCAAAATATACGTCAAATCCATATAATTTGGTTTTCTACTCTACAAGTAGACAAGCGCTAAATGGCATTTGGCTACAGCTGCTGTATAGTTCATGTGTTCAATGAAAGTCCAAAATAAAATAGGTAAAATTTTATTACTTTATTACATTATCTAAAATTACAAAATATTACTGGTTAATACTAAAGCTGGGAGACGACTGGCGTGCTAACGCTATAGGGTCACAGGCGCAGCTACGCACTTTAACCCACATAAAAAATGAGTGTCGCCACAAACGTTTTATTAATGTTTTCGTTTTGATATTTATACTGCGGAATGATAGAGGATGATATTTTTCCAAAACGAAGTCTCAATGATACTTTTCCTTACCAAAATCTGGGGAATTGAAGCCTTTAACTTTGTTCAGACTTACTTTCTACTATCTGAACTATAAAAAACTCTTAAAGTTTTTGTTCTTCGAAGGGGTTGACGATTAGACAGAGGTGCATATTATGATAAATGTGAAAAAAAGTTATGGGTCCTGTGTATATATACATCAGCCATACCACACCATTCGAGACACCGTACTGACTGAAAATTTCCGGAAGTAGGAAATGAAATCTATTATACTTTACCCGACCTTAGTAGTTTGATAGGTCGGTAGTTTAGTGAAAGTAGTATTTAATCGGTGCTTTGTTTATTGGTACAGGAACTGTCTAGCGCGGAGATATGGGAACGCGAGCGTCGGCTGCGTACACTGCGGGAGAAACTACGCGCCGAGGAAACACGACTCGTACTACTCAGGAAGCTCAGGCAGTCGCAGCAAGCTACCGGTCTACCGCCTGCTAAGGTACATTTTATTTTTTATTCACCAATCTTTTCGTGGTCAAAACCATTAAAAATATCCGCCCAAGCAATGTTTAGTGCACTCAAGTCAACAGTACAGATAGAGAGCAGACTTATTTTTGTGACATGTAAGGATTATGTACTTTGTTTAAGCATCTGATAAACAGATTTTTTTTATTCATTTATTATTTTTTTATAAACTACAATAACAGTACGCTTTTTATCGCGGAAAGGGTAGGCAGAGGTGCACACAGAAGTAACACCCACTTTTCACTATTTATGTTATGAGTGCCATGTAATAGGGGGTAAGTCTATTGCCATATACCGGGCACAATTCCAAACTCTGTGCTACTACTGAGATTTTTTTAAAAACCCTGTATTACTTTGCCCGTCCCGGTGTAATCGAACCCGAGACACCTTGCCCGGCAGTCGCACTTATAATCTACAAACATTGTATAAAGATATAATATCATCTAATTACCAAAATGTGATGAAAGTGAATGGTGTAGTAACATAGTATGGCTACCCCAGGACTCTGCGACGGGCACCGCGCTGGCCGGCAGTGGCTGCGTGGTGCCCCCCGGCGTCACCGTCACGCCCGCCCCGCCCCCCGCGCACCAGCAGACCAAGGTACGGTGTACTACATAATAATATACATTTACCATTCATTCAATAATTCACAAACTAGAGATGATTATTGTCTCTCTTTAATATGTTAACTACTTTAAAAAAAGCCAAAATATGTTTTACCTTAAACTGTCAAACACCAAGCGGTCACCGGTGACCGCAACCTATTGTTCTATATTTGTGTCTATAATGACGGTACTCGACGAGTTAATATGCGGAAATTATTAAGATTCAATTGTCGGATCCTAATGTATAAACAGAAGTAGTAATCAATTTTAATCCACAGTCTCTGGATCAATCTACGTTTCTGTCAGAGTAAAAAAAAAACGAAAGATTGACGCTAATCGTCACTATTGGATTAAACTAATCATTATAACAGTTTCACATTTCATCTCTGATATATTACTATACAAACATTTGTTCATATAACGTCACGACTCTCCGTACAGCGTACCAGCAGTAGTACCCCAGCAGTGAGCAGTAGTAGTTCGTCCCGCCGCACGTCCAGTCTGCCGGGCGGGGCCACGCTCACTCCCGGACCCTACCGCTCACAGGTATAACCATATTCAATACTAATATTATAAAGACGAAACATTTGTGTGCTTGTATATATATGTATTTAAGTATTTAAAAATTATTTCACTAAAACCACATCTTTACTGAGGGCTTAGTACAAGTTGCAGCGTTCAGCGTTCTGATTGGTTCTTTCATTAGAGCCGGCCAATCAGAGTTATCAAGTATTTATTGCATCCATAATGTACATATACAGGTGGTTGTAAAAACAAAAGTAATATTTATGGACCTTGTAGGGCGCAGCAACATATAAAATCGATAGGAGAGAGGAAGGATGGTTTGTTTGATTATTATTAATGTCAAAATTAATAAAAAAAGGTAATAGGCAATCAAATTATTGCAATGTGTGCATGTTATCTATTCAGCCTTTCTTTACCTATTATATAGGAATATATAATTATTATTATATTAAGTCTATCTCTATTTTATTATATCTATATATTATCAAATAATATTTTATAAAACGCGCAATTCTATCTCGTTTCGATCTTTGTTAATTATTACATTTGTTGTCAATAAATTAGTTGTAATATTGTCAATGTTTGTTCTCAGTCGTCGACAAGCGGCGGTGCAAGTATAACTCCGTCGGTGACGATCACTCCGGCACCTCCACCTAGCAGCCAACATGCTTCCTCTAATAAGGTAATTATAAATATCTATGTATGTCTTTATTTAGGAAATGACCGTTTATGCAACAGTAATTTTACGATCGACGATGTAATTTGATAGGTAAAGTACTTATTATCAAATAACATTGATTCCCAATTCCCATATAACTGGCTATTATATTACTTAATCAACCAGGTATTTTAGTGGCACTTCCAGAAATCTTATGTTTGTAAATGCACCCACGGCACAGGAGAAAATCCTAGTGTGGGGTAACGTTTTTTTTTTGTAACGAAATATAACTGACGTAGAATTAAAAGTGATTAAAATAAAACTATTTAGGTGTGTGTATTGAAGGCTTCATGATATTACAGATCAAAATAATGTTTGTGTAAAATTAAACTTAATTGAGCACAACAAGGTAAATAAAAAAGCTAAAGAATATATGTATACATAAAAAATTGTAATATTTTAGAAATTGATCAGGTTTGAGTAAAACATAGTAAAATAGAATGTATTACTTAGTGCTTACGATACATTATCCATTGCAAGCAACCCCAGGACAACTCCTCGGTGACCAGTAGCACGAGTGATGCAGTGAGTATGGAAATGTGATGTCATTTCACTAATAATAGACCTATGTAGATCTTTTCTGGTTTCGTTTCTTTATATTTCCTATTTAATATAGGTAGACACGAGACAAGATAATGAATATTTAGTTAGAATTAGCGACCCGCCCCTGCTGCAATTAGAAACCTCTAAATTTATCAGTGTTTCTGTTATTCATGTTTCTGTTAATAAAAAAACCGCACCAAAATCCGTTGCTCAGTTTTAAAGATCTAAGCATACATAGAGACAGAGACTGCGAATAGAGACTTTGTTTTATACTATGTATTTATTATTGAGGTAGATATTCACTGTTCTATCTTCTTAGTAACAACTATTTCATATTAATTTGTATTCTGTAAACAACACAGACAAACAAAAATTAAATAATTTTGTCACTGTCCGCAGTAAGTTCAGAGTACCAAGAAACTACATTCCCATTATTTAAAATATCTTCTGTATTAATTTTGTATTCGGAAATGTACCTTCCTATAGTCAGAATTTTATTTAGATTCCAGATTTGACAATAGCTACTGTCATTTTATGAAATAATGATACCACATATAATAGTGTAGTGATGAACACAAAAATCGATAAACAATCAGTGTGTGTGTTTTATAATAAATGTTACAGAAAGTGACAGGATAGCAATAGCGATGACGGCGACAATTTATAAAATAACTTATTACCATAATACATCTATCTGTTTTAATTGTCATGTTCCTTCATGATTACATTTTTTTATTTATTTCACACACAATTATAAAAGAAAAGTCTAGGATCGTTAATTAATCGTCAAAACGTAAATTATCGGTTCAGAAATATTTAATTTCCTGATATACTTAGTTTACAAGAGTAAAATTATAAACAAGAAGAATCGATCCAGAAGTATTTCATTTCCATATCGAATAATTTTGCAACGTCACTATTTAGTACTTGTCATAACGTTGCAACACTGAAATTGTCAAATCTGGAATCGAATTAAAATTCCGAGTATAATTCGTAATCTTCAGTACCGTTCCATATTAACCCTTAAATCCCCAAGCAGTCACCGGTGGCCGCTCTCGCTAACTACATAATAGACCTTATTTCCAATGTTTAGAGACTACTTTTGTATGTACAAATTTAGGGGATGATTTTCATACGAAAATGAACGTTTTAGGCACTACTTGAATTAAAACAAATAGTTGTCCCTTCCAAACTACCGGTGCAAGAGTTATATAGATATAGAAGCCCATGGTATGAATGCAATGCTTATGGTTATAGGCAAGTTCCCGTAGTTCCGAGGACACCCAGACTCCCGCGCAGCGACAGGCCGCCGCTAAACTTGCACTACGGAAACAACTCGAGAAGACCTTACTGCAGGTATGTAAAACATTCTGTGAGACTTTAGTGAATATTGATTATGTATCTTTCGTACTTATAGTTAAGGTTCAACTTTCAACAAAAAGTTGTGTACATTCACAATATTTTCCCATATATGTATATCATTAATTCATTTTGTCAATGGCGTTCTTAAAAAATCGTTTACTAAGTTTTTTCTCCTATTTTTTTCTTTTTAATTTGGTAATGACCAGATATGTACGGCTCGATGCCAGTATTTACATACTGCAAATATAATCTGCTTCCTCAAAACTTCAAACACTAAATAATAATAATAACGAATCCAACATCTATTGATGAAATGTGACTTTGGTGTGCTCCCCTATACATTTTTACCCGACTCTAATTTTTGCGATAATGATGAGTTATAAAAATGAATAAATTGTGTTTCCTTCTAGATCCCCCCTCCCAAACCCCCGCCACCAGAAATGAACTTCATCCCTTCGCCCAGCAACACCGACTTCGTCTACTTGGTCGGCTTGGAACACGTAGTTGACTATCTTACTAATGAAGACCGGTAAGTTGTGAGCTTTTCAGTTATCGTTGTTTTTACTTTGAAAATAATTAATTTTGAAGGAAATGTAGGGAAGACGTATTATTGAAGGTAGTATTCTCTACAACTGGTAATGTAATTAATATTAATAATTTATTGCCTGTTTCATGGGTACTTTTAGTGGTAGTTTGAATTTAGTCTTGTTTAGAATACATAGACTACCTTGATATAGTCGGTGAAGCTACCTTTTGCCGGCAGTTTCTTTCTATATAGAAATTATAACTATTTTCAAATTTATATTATGACTGAAGACTGAGAAAATACATGTATTTTTAATGGAAAAGTGAATTACTGAAACACACACCGTGTAGACATTATGATTACAAAACAGAGTAAGAGAAACAAGACAATAAAATCTCTTGCTGTTTACAAAATTTGAGGTTTAAGCACTTTTTCGCCGAATTCACATTATTTGGAAATGGATCGAGGTCATATGCGCAATGTAACTGTTCTGCCTGTAGTTAGGTGAGGAACGGGATACATGTAAAGGTGGATTAAATCGAAACATTTTATTAGGTACATTGAAATTGATATTTGATAATAGTTCTGGACTATCCATATTGCCATTGAGAACCTTCAAAGTCAAAGTTAAAGTCAAAATCATTTATTTCAATTAGACCAGAAAGGCACTTTTGAATGTCAACAAAAAATTAAAAGTGAAGCTATTTGCTCATTCCAAGGTGTAGATTCCTATGGAGAAGAACGAGCAAGAAACTCCATAGGTTACTCTTTTTCAATCAAGTTCTTCCTTCAATAAGAATAAACAATATGCAATGTTGCTTCCATGTACCAGTGGTAACATATTTGAATGTGTATCGTGATCGTGTATGTGCAGTATGCCGCGGTCGTCGGTGCCGGCGGTGTGCGCGCAGTGCGGCTGCGACTTCACGCCGGTGTGGCGCTGGGAGCGCGCGCCGGGCGGGCCGGGCGGCCAGGCGCGCCGCCACGACGCCACCTTCACGCCCGCGCCGCCGCCGCCCTCCGCGCGCCGGCTCTGCGAGCTCTGCGTCAGCGGGAACGTCAAGCGAGCGCTCAAGGTCAGGCGCCATTCTCTTACATTATTATTATTTTTTTTTATGGCATAAGCCGGTAATCGAGCAGACGGATCACTTGATGGTAAGCAATCAAAGTCGCCCATGGATACCTGGAACACCAGAGGCGTTACAAGTGCGTTAGCCAGTTAGGAATTAGGAGTTTGAAGATTGTTGCGGATTCAGGGATTGGGGAGATTGGGGAAGGGGAGGGTAATTAGGTCTACGGTAACCTCACTCACACGATGAAACACAACGCTTGCGTTGTTTCACGTCGATTTTCTGTTTATCACTCCGTTCGAGCCGGCCCATTCGTGCCGAAGCATGGCTCTCCCACACTTGGTTTTATTACCTGCTAAAAACGTTCATTACAAGGAGGAAGATGTTTTCTTTGCTCCTTCACGCCTCGTCTGTACGAGAGCTATTGATTATACATTATACAATAAAGTGACAGCCTCATTGGCCGGATGCTCGCAAATGGGTCTCGAATTCGGTTTCCAGATTAGACAAAATAGTACTAGGTTTTAAAAGAAACATCTCGAGTAGCACGGAGTCTAGAATTGTACCCGGTATATAGCAATAGGCTCACCGGTGTCTCTCAATGGGAGTCGTAATATAAAAAGTGACAAGTGGGCGTTACATCGTACAGTGGCATTAAATGCCGTATTATGCACCTCTATCAACCCCGTCGGTGATAAAAGGCGTAATATTATTTTATGCTACTTTAGAAACTTTAAAAAAATTGAGTAATAATCTATTTGATAATGTTAAACTGTTGACTGTTTACTTTTGATAATTACATTAATCAGACAGTAATGAGAATAATATTTGAATTGAAGCAAGCAAAAATAAAACCATTTTTTTCTTCACACGATTCGCAAAGTTCTTTAAGATCGAATCTTGACATTAATTTCTATTAAAAACTTTTTAATTTTGGTCGTTGAGGATTATACATTTAACAAAAGCTAGACAGCAGTGCTCTGATAAACGTGAACCTTTTAAAGTTGAATTTTCAATTTGTCTGCCAAAGGATTAAAGGGGAGCGGGTGTGCAACGAATATTACTTACGCACCGAATTTATTGCGGACGAGTCATTAACACGTTGTCTTGTGTTTAGCAAGTCTTGTTGCGATATGGCGTTTACTATAACTTACTTATTGGGTATTTGCTAACTAGTTAAATTTAATACTTTTTTCAAACTGTCAAAAACGACAGTATTTTATGAATTTAGTACTTACGAGATTATGTATTGAGACGTTACGTTGTATTGAGTTAAACAGCATACTTGTTTTTTTTAAAAAAATGCTTTAAAATATTAAAATGAAATTGGAGATAAAATCAGTTAGTGAAAGTGTGATTTTTTAGTATTTGATTGTATTGAACAGTCGAAATTATTTTTGAGTAAGGAAAGTACGTAATTGTAACATGGAATATGAATACGTCGTTGCAGGCGGAGCACACAGCGCGGTTGAAGACGGCGTTCGTCCGCGCGCTGCAGCAGGAGCAGGAGATAGAGCGGCGGCTGGCGGCGCCGGCCGCGTCCCCGCCGCCCGCGCCGCACGCCGCGCCGCACGCGCCGCCCGCGCCCCCGCCCGCACACGCGCACGCGCACCGCCCGCTGCAGGTACTGCCTAATGATTGTGGAGGCTTTTTATGAGATAAGTCGGTAAACGGGCTGACAGATCACCTGATGTTAAGCAATCTGCGTCACCCATGAACATTCGGAACACCAGAGGCGTTACAAGTGCGTTACCGGATTTTTGGGGATTAAGAATTTGAAAATTGTGTGAATTGATAGAAGAAATTGGAGTGGGTGGGGGGGAGGGGAGTGAATTGGGCCTCCGGTAACCTCACTCACACAACGAAACACAACGCGAACATTGTTTCAATTTAGTTTTCTATGAAGCTATGACATTTCATTCCAGTCGTGTGGGTCGAGTCGACCCATTATTGTCGAAGCATAACTCTCCCACACGTTATTGAGCTAACAACAAGAAGATAAAAGAAATTATGACTACTATTGTTGTAAAGAAGAGAAAATTATTCACGTTTTTCATGTCTTAGGTATAATATCTTCTGATTTATCGTTCGAGATCCAAAACGGTGATTATTCGTGTCCCTGAGACGTGTTAAACTTTCATTAGTTGTATCTACATTAGATTCTCGCAGGAGTTGCAGCAGTTTGGAAAAGTAATGAGTCTCTCTCGATCTATGAAAGAATTACATGCAAGAATTTATTTTAATATGTTATGTATTATGTATTTCCAGATGTCAGTATCCCGCAGTACGTCTCGCGGTGGGTCGACGTCATCCCCCGCGCCCAGCAAGACTCCCGCACCACCGCCCGCGCCTCGGTAAGTTACTAATATTCATTTTATTGCGATAGTTTGTAAAATATATCGACATCCAACGTATATGTCATATTTGTGTAACGGTTACAGTAACTGTGTTAACTTATATTTAAATTGCTCTTGCTCCTACCATTCTTTCTTCTCTGCATCACCCAAAGGCCAGACTGGGAGAAAATGCCTGCGGCATTAAGTCCACCTTGTGTACACTTTGTGTATGTAGCGTTAATAAATAAATAAATTGTCTGACGATTCTGCTTCTAGTGTCTAACACTTTGCTTTTATTGTGTGATATTATTCTAACGATCATTGTCTGAGTGCCTGCTTTTATTTGATGTTTGACTGTCTGATTCTAGTGTTCAAATGTTAGGTTGTAGTGTCTGACAGTTACGTCTAATGTCTGAACACGCATGTCTGATGGTCATCAGATTATCCATATCACAATTATTTAAAACTAGCTACTTCCACGCTACACGCTCTGCTCAGCTCCTATTAGTCGTAGCGTGATGTTTTATAGCCTATAGCCATCCTCGATAAATGCGCTATCCAACACAAAAATAATTATTCAAATAAGACTTACTCTTCCGCTTTATATAATAGTATAAGATATTGAAATATGAATGATAATAAGTGAATTTTCTGTTGTCCAGAACTATGTCATCCTCAGAGTCGCTTCGTAGCCACCACTCTGACCGCTCCAGAGAACCCAGTGAGGTACCAGCCAAGAAAGGAAAAGGTATGCCTTCAACACTCCATACTATATTGTGAAAATTCGATGTTCACATATTTACTTGATTCTACAATGACTATTGAAATAACTGCAGTGTTATGCTCCTCTAATAGCCTGTTTCAATACCATATCTGTCTCTAGTTTCGCTTACCCGAAATGGTAAAGTTTTTTTTAGTCATTTTGTACGAAGCTTATGTCAAGGCTTCTGTCTCTAGTTAATAAATCCAAAGATAAAACTGGCCTTAACCTATTGAGACGTTAAACTATAGTGTATTTCTCGATTATTCAAGTAAACTTAATTGCTTGTTTTTATTTCCAGGCTCATCATCAAGCAGCACCAGCCAGAATAGCAGTAGCAGTAAGCAGCACCAGGTAATTATACTTAAATATTATTTTCCGTCTTTCTTTATTCTCAGTGTATCGACTGTCGACTCAATGAAGTTGTATGCACAACAAGTTATATGAAAAGATTAGGTTTCTCGTATACTTTTGTCAAACTATTAGAAATTTCTATTACAAGTACAAAACTATTAAAAGTGTGGGAGAGCCATGCTTCGGCACGAATGGGCGGACTTGACCGGAGTGATACCACGACCGAGCAGAAAACCGACGTGAAGCAACGCTTGCGTTGTGTTTCGGCGTGTGAGTAAGGTTACCGGAGGCCCAATTACCTCTCGCCCACTTTCCTAATCCCTGAATCACCAAAAATCCTCAAATGCCTAATCTCAAAAGGCCGGTAACGCACCTCTGGTGTTCCAGGTGTCCATGGGCGACGCCGTTGCTTACCATCAGGTGATCCGTCGGCTAGTTTACCGGTTTACTCCATAAAAAAATACAAGTTGATGTAAATAAACCCACGTTTTTGTGGAAGCTGACGCTTCCGCAAGCATTAGATTGTTGCACATATTACGTTGATTCAAACGAGCAGACGGATTACGTGATGGTAAGTAATCGGCGTCTCCCATGAATGCTTGCAACACCAGAAGTGTTACTAGTATTCACTACTACCCACCGGGTATAGGAAATGGGATATTTGGTCTCTGTTAATCTCAATTACATGGCGAAACACATTGCGCTTTGGTTATTTCACGTTGATTGCCTGCGCGGTATCACTCTGTGCGAGCCGTTTGTTTCGAAGCAAGTCTCTCTGCACGTAGAAGCATACTGTCTGTCTCCGTTTGTCCCAGCGGGCGGCAGTAGCGGCGGCACAGATGGCATTCGAACAACACAGCGCCGCCGCCATGCAGGCGCTGCAACATCAACTGCTCAGAGGTACGTCAAAATACTATCATTGTATTATAACAATATCTCCTACCAATTTTAAATTCTAAATGTTACTGTGCCCGACAGGGTCCATAATTGTTAATATTGTATTTTCTGACCACCTGTATATGTACATTATGGATGCAATAAATACTTGATTACTTGATCTTGGTATTCATCCGACTATTGCAAAGATAGAGATGACGTTACTCATACAACCATATTTGTGAAATGGTTGCAATAGTATGAATGGACTGCTTTTGTCGGAATACTGAAACGCTACTCAATTTTAAGTCGTGCTTAAGTATAGTTCTATCTCTACAAATTCTTTGTAAAATGACAGAGATGGCACGATATTTGAGCACGACTTAAAATTGAGTAACGTTTCAGTATTCCGGCATTTGAGATTTCTTTTTAAAGTAACATCGTTACTTTTATTCGCCGACGTCCGACATTAATAATCGGTTTAAATTTTACAACATTATTGTCATTAAATTAATGGATTTTTTGTCAAAAATAGAGATCGACCGAATATTTTGAGTTTAGGTAAAAAGAAGTGTAAAGATCAACGTAAAATAAGTGGCGAAACATACCTCTTTAATTTATATATGACCTTAAACGAGAAGTCCAAATCAGGCCTATTTTAATCTCGTGGTTATGACTACCCCCTATTCTGTAGACGAGATACAATAGTTCAGAGGGCTTAGTACTAGTTTGTTTTACATTTAAGTAACCGAAACGAGACCGCGGTCGGCGCTCTCATTGGTTGGTTCAATGGAGCCGGCCAATCAGGGGACTTACTCTTGAATCCTATTCCGACCAGTATTGTGAACTTTTGTGCTCTTAAGTTGCAACACTAAATGGCATTGAGTGTGGCTTTATATTCCGTACCCTGAATGCTATTTTAACAGCTACGATAGGGGTTGTATAGTTTTGACATAATTGTTGAGATTTTATTGGATTGAAATTGCATTGACATTGAGATTGGTTTCAAGAGTAAGCACCCTGATCGCCGAAGGTGTACTCACGTTCAAACTCGTGCAACATCTAAGGTCCCAGAAGTGGACTCTCATAAGGGACTGTTGATGAGGTCTGTCTCCTTTGTAGAAGAGATACTTAGTCCAGCAATGGACTGTCGTAGTAAAATGATGGTGATTGTACGTGCAGGTCTCTCAGGTGCCGGCGGTACGTCGGGCATGTCCCCGGCGGCGGCGGCGGCGGCCATGATGCAGTTCTCCCCGCTGCTGTATACGTACCAACTCGCGATGGCGCAAGCCTCCGCGCTAGGTAAGCGTTGTACGTATTCACACACACTTTTTCTTTTTATTATTATTTAGTTTGTAGTTTAGTTTGTGTGGATGGGACGTTGATTTTAAATAAAAAGGAATTTCCGTTCGTTAATCTCGCTGACACTTGAGAACGGCTGAATTTTGGTCTTGAAATATTCGTGAAAGTCCAGGGAAGGTTTAAAATGTGAGAAAAACAATTTAGGCGGTATGAAGTTTGCCGGATTTGTGATAAAATGAAAAAAGATTTGCGAAAATGTATTGCTAAGCGGAAAAGGGCTTGACGGAATAAGCATTCATTTCTAATTATGAACCAATTTGCAATTGGTTTGGTTTATCAATGTCCCATCCACACTGAATTTTAGATCGAGATGAATAAAATTGAACTTTGCATTCAATATGTAATGATTTCGGTCTAAAACTATAATTTGATATTAGCTGGTACTTTTTAACCGACTTCAAAAAGAAAAAAATGGTCATTCTCAGTTGGACCTGTATGTTTATATGTTTGTGCGCAATTATCTCGCCAATTGTTACACTTTGAAAATGGTTTAGTGTATTGATTAACCGACTTCAAAAAGAAAGAGGGGGTGGTTTTTTTAAGGGGGAAAATCAACGAATGACTGTTCCCGCCTCGGTGAGGCGGGAGGGAGAGTCAGACTCTTATTGACTAAAAACCACCCCGTTCCTTCTCCAGCACGTCGAGCCGGAGCCCCGGTTACCCGTTAGGTTCTCCGCGACAAGACGGGGTGGTATTTCGATTTTTAAACGTAGTTTACAAAAGAATTAATTATGGGTACGATGTTTTATCTAGATAGCGCCATTGTCGATTAGTGCATGCAGGGTCCTATACGTACTTATGTACCAGCTAGTGTTAAATATTGACGATTTTTGTTTTATTTGCTTTGCTTGTGTCAGCGTTAGGGTATTCAATTCGGTATTGTTATCTATATAAAAAAAAAAAAATGTATTTTCATTCGTTAGTCTCGCTAGAACTCGAGAACGGCTGAATCGATTTGACGAATTTTGTTCTTGAAATGTTTGTGGAAGGTTAAAAGGTGAGAAATCAGTCTAATAAAAAAGAATTTTTTGACGCGGTACGAAGTTTGCCCGGTCAGCTTATTATAAAAAGTTGCTATAAAATTATGCTACAATTTGAATTCAATATTCAAGTTTCTATTCAGTGAAATATGCTGCAAATCAATGTTGCTTGTTGTTATTCCTGCAACTAGTTTTTTCAACATTATTTACTTTTGCACTTCCCTACACACGATATCTATAATTTATCGATGTTTTCTTTTAATTTTTTACTATAATGTCAATGCATACGTATTCTAGTCGCGACGACTGACAAGAATAAATTTATTCTGTCGCCACCTTTATATATTTAACGAGATAAGACTGAACAGCAGTACACTGATAAACCTAAGTCATTCCAACTGTAATCTCCAACCTTCATGGTAAACGTGGAGTTTATAACATACCTTCTTGTATAATATTTATAAAGATATATGTACATATGTTCAAAATTCTTGCAAAAAGGTTTTTTATCACGAGACAAATATAGCAATTTAAATACAGAATGTAAATGGAACGCTGCCGAAAAACTGTGACAGGGGAACATAAAATACATAATATAACATCACGCCTTTTATTCCCGGAGACGTAGGCAGAGGTGCACATTACGGTATTTAATGCCACTGTACTATGTAACACCCACTTTTCACTATTTATGTTATGAGTCCCATGTAATAGGGGGTGAGCCCATTGTCACATACCGGGCACAATTCCAGACTCCGTGCTACTACTGAGAATAGAACTGAGAGTGATAAAATACAAGTTTTATTTTTACAAAAGTAAGGAATTAAATGTTTCTTTTATGTAATAATAGTTGTAATCAACTGCTCAAGGCTGATGTTGTATGAATAACATGAAACAAAAAAAAAACGATTTCAATTTCAAAAGTAATTTCTTTTTGTCAGCGTTTCGGGGACATTCCATTTACTTTACATCCTGTATAGTGTGACCGCTTCACAAGCAAACATAGTGAGCATCGATTCTGCTCATGTATCATATCGTTGCAGCCGGTAAGGGCGGCAGTAACTCGGGCGGAGGCGCCGCCATGGCCGCCGAGATGCAGCGCGTCGCTGAGGCTCAGAGACAGTATCTGCTCGACATGATACCCGGACAACATACTAGGAATCCCTGGACGAAGAATTAACAAGTATGTATTATCTCATTTGTATACATTATCTACGGTATTGTTATGTTGATCTTGTAAGATAATTAATAAAATATAGGAGATTCAAAGTAAGCTTAAGCCTCTTTGTCACGTTATAATTGAAAATTAGAATATTGGATCACAAATACATCCATAGATTCATACCTTTGATATAATTGTCTTGTCCGAAACTATAAATTCTATATTCAGATAATTTAAAAGTATGCATTTTAGTAAATTTAGATGGCGACTTATGCCAATGAAAATACACGGTTCGTCGACTGCACGGTTAGTGCGGTGTCTGGGCAACCGGCTGCCGTGCACCGTGTCGCGGGTTTGATTCCCGCACGGAACAACACTTTGTGTGATCCACAAATTGTTGTTTCTGGTTTGAGTGTCATTGTGTATTATTTGTGTGAAATTGTATGTTTGTAAACGCACCCACTACACAGGAGAAAATCCTAGTGTGGGGCAATGTTTTTTAAAACAAAATATGTTCGTGATGTGGCTTGGTTTGATTCAGTGTTATATTTGTTCGTCTAATTGTACCCAGAATGACTTACTATTTTTAAATGTTGGCAACAAAAAATAGTAGCGTCTCTTAAAAAAGTAATTCTTCTTTCACAGCTTTATGGAGATCAACCATGAATTTCAAGTGGAAGTAGACGATTGACGGCGCAGTGATATCGTAACAATAAATACAACGTATATCTTAAACCAACCACCGCCCTGAATTTAGCCACAAAGAGTGAGCGAGACGCAAATAGCACAAATTATTAAAAGAGCGAAAAGGACAGCTATAAGCTCCTATCTAACTTCAGAGTGGTGGTATTTTGTGCAAGTTATTATGACGTTTTATGGCAGTGTGAGAGAAATGGAGCTGTACAGTAGGCATTGCTATCTCTTTTATACTTCCATATTATATTAAATGTTATAATTTCTTTGTACACAAAATACGGTATTCGGCGATTGTGAAATTAATTAAACAAGATGGTTTAAAGTTTTTGGAAGTTGAAAGAAATTATTGGGAATTATAGTTATCTTTTTATTTGTTTTAAAATTTTATACAAATTGTGTTCAGTTTTTGACCGCCATGTATCTACAAAATGTAAAATCTTTTTGAGAGTTTAACGATTATGGACTATATGTTATTGTTTTTAAGACGCAATTTTGCATGCAAACTAAATACCATACGTAAATACGATAACAACTGACACACACACCTTCAATCAAATCAAATAAGTATTAAAAAGTAAATGTTCACAGCGGTCAAAATGATTTATTTACTAAAACAAAATTGGTTTAAGGATAAAAATAGCTAGATTTCATACATTCTTTGAGAATCACACCGCGAGAATGCATTTCTAAGAGAATCTAGATTTAAATAGTACCTATATAATTAGTATTTAAGGATAATTTTTCAAAGTCTTACAAAGCGATGCACAAGTTTTTAAATACGTAAATGGCTTAGATTAGTATATCAACGATAAAACAGTTTTGTGCTAATAATTACACTAAGATCTCAATAGATGGCATTGCTGGGCAAAGGTTGAATTTTTATCTATATTCGCTATTTTTATTCGTCTTCTTATCTGTGAATTTTATTCAACTCTATAATTTTCTTAATTAATGGTATTTGATGTGCATTTTTAACCTATTTTTATGTGAATATGAGTTTAATAAATCTTCGATTATCTTGCATGCCATGCCCATACTAATATTGATTAAAATTCAAAAGCTAACAAGACCTCTTTGAAGTCGTACAAATAACTTGATCGTTAAAAATATTGACGTAATTTTTGCATGAAGTAACTTTGGCATTAACACTATTGTTTGCAAAAATAAAGATCTAATATATTTTATTGTGTTTTGTGGCTCATATACCGCCTTATCAAAGAGATAATTTTAACTAATTATAAATCAAATTGAAGCTTTATCTCGACTGACTTTGAAATTATGCAGTAAAGACCATCTTCTCAACATGTTGGTAATATTAGCATAAATGTATGCTTTGTTATTATTATTTTGTTTCCCTGGACCTTTCTATTCCATGAGGTATGGTAGGAAGTGTAATATTATGGACAGAAATGATGACTTAAAAAATATTGGACACATTTTTTACCGATGAACTTAATGGTTTTTTTTTATGTTTTAAGCATTTATACTACTAAGTATTTGGGTAGTATTTATACTACCCTTTTGCACGTTTTATATTGAATAACAAACTTATCATCTCCTAAACGTTAATATCTCATTATAGTTTTAACTTGTAAATCCACGATTATGAAAAATTCACAACAGTTGTTCACACAAAAGTAGTCTCTAAACATCGGAAATAAGGTCTATAATGGAGTAAGTGGAGAGCAGTCACCGGTGACAGCTTGGGGACGTAGAATTTAATAAAAATAAAAAAGTCTGTGTCTAATATTTTCATGCACCCGTCATCATCTCTTCTCTAATATAAAATTTTAACCTTGAATTTGACATCAATACACTGTAATGTTGTTATAGAAAGTGTATATGTATTTTTTCTATTTATTTATGTTAAATGTTGCATGTTTATGTGTTTGTCCAGCAATGTACACTAATAGCACTCGAGGGATAAAATGGTTATGTGTGAAACTTTAGTTGTAAGTGATCCAATCATTTTATATGATGTGTTTTAACTAGGCTACGAATAAATGGATATTGCTAAGGAAAATGATTTTTATTTCCATTCTAAATTCCACAATGTTGACCCTTAATTAATGTTGTACAAAGAAAAATAATATAAAATTAAAGTCTATGTATAGAAAGCAAGTTATTTAGTATGCCTATAGGTAAAGGCTGATTCTTTACAGAAACAGTAGCCATTGGTTGGCTAGATCCGACCAATGTGTACAAAAGATACAATTTATTTGTATTGTAACTTTCGTGAGACATACTAAATAAATTATTATGTATGTTTTCGGCTTACTCACGTTATAATTTGACGAGGAACTCGACTAGTTTCAAGCCATACTAGAGGCTCATATTCATGAACAGCATTTTCCGCGACGTGGTGACACTAGCAGCGCGACAGTATACAGCCGAGGGTAGACGACTAATTTTTATTTTAATGTCCGTCTGGTAGATTATTTAAAAACATTAGACACGTATTTTTTATTTTGTTTCGGAAACGAATAGTTTCGCAGATATATTGATTTGAAATGTCGCGTGACGTCACTTCTCAGTATATTTTGTACTAAGAAATGACGTTTTTGCCCCCACTCCTAAACTTTGATTCGTTTTATCTAAGTATTGTTTTATTATACGACAAAATAAAAAAATACGTGTCTTATATTTTTTCATTGCCTAACTTACGGACTAACTAGATTTTTAATTTTCATACCCTGTCATCATCCCAATTTAGTATAACAAAGCTAATGTTTTTCGGCTTGCTCACGTAAATTATTTGACGAGGAACTCATATTTTAAAATTCCCATACACGTCTGATTAACGCAATTTATAACTACTACATACATTGCTGTTAATTTCAAGCCATGCTAGAGCCTCATTTTCAGCCAGCGTCTCTCGTCAAATAGTAATGTGAGTAAGCCGAAAACATAATACCGTAAAATGGGGTGAATAGGGAATGAGAGGGGAATAGATATAAGGAAATTCTTCATCGTATCGATTCACCCCTCTTCTGTCCCTTTTCGTCGCTCAAACCTTATTCATTATTCACCCCATTTTACCGTTAATTATTTTAGTACGTATACATAACATCGCGCCTGTTATCCCCGAAGGTGAAGGCAGAGTTGCACATTATGCCACTGTACAATGTAACACCCACTTTTCACTATTTATGTTATGAGTCCCATGTAATAGGGGATGAGCCTATTGCCATATACCGGGCACATTTCCAGACTCCGTGCTACTACTGAGATTTTTTTTAAAACCCAGTAATA